AACCCCTCTGCCCAGGGACCGAGTGAACCCCTCTGCCCAGGGATCGAGTGAACCCCTCTGCCCAGGGACCGAGTGAACCCCTCTGCCCAGGGACCTAGTGAACCCCTCTGCCCAGGTGCTCCCGCATGCTGCGTGCTGCACCCTACTTTTGGCCCTCAGAGCTCCACACACTGATGAGCAGATGCAGAACGAAACAGCACAGCCCCAGTGTGAAAGTTTATGCCGGGGCGAAGGCCGTGGCCTTCTCTGGTGATGCGCGGAGGTGCACGTCCTGCCACTCACAGCCCCTCAAACACCTGCAGCGGGAGGCTGGCTCAGGCACCTCATGGGCAGGAGCGGGTCCTCTGGGCCTCCACAATGCCCTGCAGTGGCATTTATGACCTTGTTAACAGAAAGGCCCTTTCTAGTGAAGAACTAAGGATACATTGAGGGCAGCGATGTAAAACCAACCTCAGCCTCTGTAAAGCAAGGGGCCGCATGAGGCCCAGGCCTGGGAGAGCATCGGTTCGAGTCCCGCATCAGAAAACAGCCCGAGAGTGGGGCATGAGCAGCAGGTACAGCAGCTGCTGGCTGCGGAGCAGATGCTGGTTTGGAAGGCTGTTATTATTATAATTGTTATTCGGCATACATGGTTTCGTGGAGACACTTCCGAGCTGCCTGAGGGAGCTAGGTCCTAGGAGACAGTGGCCACACCTGTCTCCTCCCCTGGCCTGACTCTCATCCTGGCCTCAGAACCCCCCCCAGGCTGCTGTGGGGGTGAAGGGTGGAGCCCCTGATCCCTGCCCCAGGGGCTCTGATGGCCGACAGGTGCCAGCCAGCCACTGCTTCTGGGCTGCTATGAGGCTGAAGAACATCTAAGGCCTGCTCTGCATTTTAAAAGTCAATTCATTTTTATTTTCTGTTTTAAAAATTAATGGGCTGGGGTCCTCCCTAGTGGCGCAACAGGTTAGGCTGCAGCACTGCAAGTGAGCCGCTTCAGTGAGAGTTCAGTCCCTAGCCCTGGAGATGCTCCACCTGTCCTGACCCGCCCGCTGCTCCCCTCAGCAGTGTACCTCATCGATCTGCCTGTTCCGTTCCCCACCCTGTCTCTGGTGAAGCCTCTCACCACCCCTGAACCTCTGGCCGGTACCCCAGTTCTGTATGCATAAATAAATATATATATATTTAAATTAATGGACTGTACTTCTTAGAGCAGCTTTAGGGTTATCGAAAAATACGGCGGCATAAGCAAGACCCCCGACCTGTTCCTCCACTAGAAATGACACTAGTGGCAGCTTTGGTTCAACAGACAAGAACCCTCTTGACTAAACTCCATGGTGCTATGCCTTCTGCAGCTCTAACCTGTCTCTACAGTCTGGCACTAGCAGCTTCTGGTCTGAGCTTGGCCCCTGTCCACCCTTTCCCCACCCCACAACCCAGGGGAAGTGGAAGCTGGACTCCTGCATAGGAGGGTCTGTGCAGCCTGAGCCTTGCAGAGAGCTTTGGGGAGGCTGGAGGGAGGGCCTGAGGGCCCCAGGCTGCTGACTGTCTGTCCTGTCCACAGGCCTCGCCAAGCCCATCGGGCTGGTGGAGGGGCCGGGCGGCCTGGGCCAGGGTGGTGTGGCGGCCACTCTGCAGGATGACAGCCTAGAGGTGGAAAACAAGTTCGAGGAGTATGGATACAACGCACAGCTCAGCGACCGCATCTCCCTGGACCGGACCATCCCTGACTACAGGCCCAAAAAGTGAGTGCAGCCATTGTCCCTGCAGCAGGCCCAGGGCAGGGACGAACTCTCACATACCCACGGCCCAGCAGAGGGAGGTGGCCAGGGCAGGGGACGTGGCTCAGATGGCTGAGCCCCTGCGAGGGCAGGATGGGGAATGAGGAGGGGTGGGGCTGAGGCTCTGGTGGCATTTCGCTGGCCAAGGAGCCATCCCAAGAGAGACGGCCTCAGCGGGGTCCTCAGAAACATGCTGGGGCCTGGGAGATGCGTGCCCAGGAGTGTGTAGGTATTGCATGCATGCGTGGGCACGCCACATGCTTGTAGACCTGTGTGGCTGCACATGCGTGGTGGTGCACGCACGTCCCTGCCCCAGCCAGCCACTCGCCCATTTCAGCTGGTGTCTGCTCCACCTTCCTCCCCCGGACACACAGCCGACCTCCCTTTGTGAGAGATGGGTAGCTCTCCTGATTAGGCAGCGCTTTAATTATGCCACAAAACACACAACATAGATCTTGATTATTAAGACCGGCCCACAGGGTAATGAATGGAAGTCGAGCAAGTCCAAATTAAACAGCATCATAAAAATGAATGGCCTTTCCCAAGACGCCAGCCCACATCCCACGCAGAAGTAGCCCCCGGGTGCTGTTTGCCACCTTCACGCGTATTGATTGCTGGCTTGGGGAGTAGAGCTACAAGCTGGCTTGGGTGTGGGCCCAGTGGGGAGTGGGGCTGCTCCCTGAGGGCCCCTGTGCCCTGCTAGGCTGAGGGGGCTTGTCCCAGAGAGCTGGGAGGTGGCACTGTCCTGGGGGTGTCCCGGCAGCAGAGGGGCCAGTGTTCTACTGTGTACTCCTCCAGGGCTCCGGGTCAGTTGTAGACACGTGTGAGGAGGGCGCCTGGTGGGCCTGGTCTGGGTGGGGTGTGGGTGGCTCTGTCTGTGGACAGGTTTCCCACTGCCCCTGCTCAGTGTGGGCTTTTGTGGCACCACTCCAGAGGGTAGGAGCCCATGGCACGCAGAGCAACAGCTCTCAGGCCCCAGTGCGGTCTTGTGGGCCCTGCGGGGGGCTTCTGGGTTTGCTGTGAACCCAGTGGCTCTGGCAGGAGATGGATATCACCCTGCTGTCACCGCACGAGGCCCAGGCTCCCCTGGGAGGCCAACACCATCCATCTCTCTCCACCCTACAGTTATTTCCCTAGCGGCACAGAGGCATCCCCATAAATTTCCATCAGGGTTGCTGGAGTGGCCCTGTTTCCCAGGAGGCCACGTGGGACGTGCCTGCCTGAGCTCTCTCAGTCACCTCATAGCTGCTCTTGGTGGGCATGACCCTCAGCTCCTGGGCCTGGGGTGTGTGGGCCAGGCCTTTCTGGGCACAGAGTGTAGCCCCACTTTACAGGGATACCTAACTTGAACCAGGAACCCTGGGAGTCTCTGGAGGCCAAGCTGGCCAGACCTGGTGTTGAGCACTTTGCTGATGGCCAGGGCTCCTACACTGGAACCGTTGCTAGTGGATACAGGTGGGTGCTGCTTCTCTGAGCAGAGCGCCTGGACCTCTGTGGAGGGAGCCAAGGGTTGGCAGCAGGGGCTGGGCTCATGGGGTAGGGGCCTCACAGCATGAGGCAAGGAGTGGAGCTGTCCCAGGGCTTAAAGCACCTGCTGCGCCTGGATTGGGAGGGGCTTCAGCCCAGCAGGGTCATAAAGCAGTCACCAGATTGTGGATATTCATGTTTGGGGGTACAAGGGCTGGGTGACATTCTGAGCAGCAGTGAGGACCGCTAATGAGACGGATACGCTATGTTCCTAGAACATTCTCAGAAGCGGCTGCAACAGCAAAGCTTCTACCCGAGAGTGAAGGCACCCACCAGTGGTGGGGCCCCAGAGACCCCCATGGTTAGGGCCCCCCGAGAGCTCTTCAGAGTGAGGGTCCCAGAGGGCTCAATGGTACTCAGTGACATCACGGTCCTGCTCAGCCTCGTCCGGTGCAACACACAGGGCAGGGCAGGCTGGCAGCCCCACAGCCCCGTACTCCAGGCAGAGCGAGGGCCCGTCCAGCCCCTTGCCTACCTCGCCCACACTTTGGTCTGCTGTGTCTCTCCGGGGAGCCACAGAAGGGGGTATCTGCCTCAGCTTCCAGTAGCCACAGGACTTGCCACCTGCCTGCAGGTGCAGGCATGTGACCTATTCCGCGGACCTGCCTCAGATCTCCGTGGTCTTCATCTTTGTCAATGAGGCGCTCTCGGTCATCCTGCGCTCAGTCCACAGCGTGGTCAACCACACGCCCTCCCAGCTCCTCAAGGAGGTGGTTCTGGTGGACGACAACAGTGACAACGGTGAGTGGGCAGCCTGGTGCCCCCTCCCCTGCCCCCACACGTCTGTCCACGCCCTTCCCCTTGCCCTCTCCTCCGACCCTCCTCTACCTCTCCCCTCCTGCCCTTGGCCATCCAGGGTGTCCACTCGCTCTCCACCTACTGGGCTGGTCCTGGTGCCACCCGCGCCTTGCTACCCCCCCACCCACCCCGCCCCACCCTGATGGTGAGACCTGCCTGTGTCCCCCAGTGGAGCTCAAGTCCAACCTGGACCAGTACGTCAACAAGAGGTACCCTGGCCTGGTGAAGATCGTGCGCAACAGCCGCCGGGAGGGCCTGATCCGCGCGCGACTGCAGGGCTGGAAGGCAGCCACGGCCCCTGTCGTGGGCTTCTTCGACGCCCACGTGGAATTCAGCGTGGGCTGGTGAGGGCTGGTGAGGGTCAGCGGGCCAGTGGCGGGGGGCACTCCAGTCCAGTGTGGCTCCTCCCAAGGGCAAGCACAGCCTCCTCCTAGCCTGCTTCCCCCACAACCTGCTACCTGCTACCTTCGTGGTCTTGTAGCCTGGCACACAGCCTGAACTCAGGTCCACCGGCCGTCAGCCACGGGAGGCCTGAGTGCTGAGCACAGGGCTGGGCACTCTCTTCCTCCCAAGAATTCTAGATCAAAGTCCGCATATTTCTCTCACCCCCATCCTGCAGAAATCTGGGGGTGTGGTCAGGGCAGTGGGGCCTACAGTGACTCCCAAGAGAAGTGTCTGCAGCCCCAGCACTGCCAGGTGTGGTAGAAGGCTCAGTGTCCACGTGTCCCCTGCATGCCCAGGGCCACCCTGGGCTCCTGGCAAGGCCACCACTCAAGGGCAGCCAGGAGGCCTCAGGAATGGCACCATGTCCAGCAAAGCATCCCCGGAGTCATGCGTCAGGGCCTCAGAGGCTGTGGCTCCCCAGCTGCTCCAGGATGGCCACCCTTTATGCCCAGGGATCCCCAGAGGCACCGAGCCACCCAGAAGCACACACTTGCAGGTCTGGGAGACGGCTTTCTTGGCTGTGGCTTCTCCTGGGTCCACTTTGCCTCTGCCACCCTCATGGGGCTCTCTTCTTGTGACACTATCACTGTCTCCCACAGACCCTGCCTTGTCAGTAGCCTGGCTTTGCAGGGTGCATCTGAAGCCTCTATTGACAGCAGCTGAGTAAATCTTCCAGTGCTAGTGCAAGTCCCAGGGGCAGGGCTGCGGGGGAGGGGCCGATCACACCCAGGGCCAGGTCTCTGCCGCCACCCAGCTCTTGGGCTCCCCTTCACGGGCCCAGCTGCTCAGCCTGGCTGCTTAGCTCGGCGGAACCCCAGCTCGGTGGCCCCGAAAGGCATCCCAAGCCTGCAGCAACTGAGGTTGCTCCTAGGGCAAAGCCCATACCTGCCTCTGTAACCCTGGTGTGCTGAGGGCCCACTGCCCAAGTGGACATAGGGGAGCCCTTTCCATGTGCTGCCTCTGCCGTCACCCGCCTGTCCCCAGGAATGCCCAGGCCGCCTGGCATTGGTGCTCCCTGGCATCCTGTGCTAAGGGCCAAGAAGCCGCCCCCATCTGGTCCCACCTGCAGCTTGAATCACCCCCTCATCCTCCTCCTACAAAGCCCAGTGCTGCTGGCCCCTCACATGCTGCCCCACTCATGGGGCTGTTCCTGGCCCCGGGTCCACCACTCTTTAGTCCCACATCACCAGTCCTGATGTCACTGGTCCCGAGGACTGGCTCCCTGGCTTCCTGGGGCCAGGCCAGATTGGGCAGGTCAGTCAGCATCAGCTGCGGGGTGCCCGAGAGTCCACAGCCCGGAGATCTGGCTGCAGCCTCCCGGAGAGCAGCGGGCCAGGGGCAGCCAGGAGCGGGCGGGCTGTGTCCCTCTTTCCCGCCTGTGCCCCCCCATGCCCCCCTCATTGGCTGTGTCCCCATAGGGCCGAGCCCGCCCTGGCGCGGATCCGGGAGGACCGCAGGCGCATTGTGCTGCCGGCCATCGACAATATCAAGTACGACACCTTCGAGGTGCAGCAGTATGCCAGCGCCGCCCACGGCTACAATTGGGGGCTCTGGTGCATGTACATCATCCCCCCCCAAGACTGGCTGGACCGTGGGGACGAGGCCGCGCCTATCCGGTGCGTGTCTGTGGGGAGGGACGTGGGGGCTGCTGGGTGCGGGGCAGGGGCGAGGGCATTGGGTTTGGGGCTGGTTCTGGCTAGGAGGGGGCAGAGAACCAGAGGGAGAGGTGGGGAAGGGGGCGGGGGCCGCGGGCTGTGGGGGGTGGGGCCCAGGCCCCGGAGAGAGCAGGCAAGCGGGGCAGCCTAGCTACAGCGCAGCGGCAGGCAGGGGGAGGCCTGGCTGCCCCGCGGATGCAGCATCACCCTGTGCAGAAGCAAATAACAATTAGCACAGACTCCAACCCTCAGTGCACCTGGACACAGGGCCAGACAGGCCCGCGGCACCACCCTGATGGCACCGTAGGGAGCCGGTGTGGTCGGGCCCAGGGGCCCCAGGGAGCCCCAGCAGCTTTTCAGGAAGGTCAGGATATATCAGCGGTTCCAGGGCTGACGCCCCAACTTCCACACGGGCTGGAAATAACTGGCGTCCATGGCAGGTGGGGAGAGACAGGGAGCCCTGCACCCCAGCGGACTCTGCAGGCGGTGCTCACATCACCCTGCAGGGGCGTCTGTGCAGGAGGGCCTGTGGGTCTGAGCGTAGGGGTCCCTGCCAGGTCTCTCCACTCCCTCCCACCCACCCTGCTTCCCACCTATCCCTGGGGGTGATGCCCTCCCCCAGGACTCATTTCCCTTTGACATCTTACATCATAGAAGAGAAAGCGACCCGGCAAAACACACATGGTTTGGGAACTGAGGAATGGAGCCCAGAAAAGCCATTTGGCAGATTCTGGGCTGGTCCCAAGACTGAGCACAATAAGTGTGTTCACCCCTCCCAGCGAGGGGTGTCCTGGGCACCAGCCAGTGGGAAGACCTACTCCTGGCGGCTGCTGGCCGCCTGCCCACCGTGCCCCGCCTTCCCTTGCCCTGCACCCGCTAATGTCCACACCCTGCCATAGACTGCAATTCTGGTTCCAGACCAAGCCTAGGGGTTCGGGGTGCAGCCTCAAGCCCAGCAGATTACAGCTGGGTTGGGAGAGGGTAGGAGAAGTGCCAGGTAGAGCTCAGGCAGGCAGAACCGCCAGATGAAGGTGGCCCCCAAAACTCAGACCCGCACCCCTGTGGTTTCTGTGATCGCAGCAAGAATTTCCGCTGCAGAGCAGCTCAGTGCCAGCTGATTTTGCTGCTATTGCTGTCTGAGTTCAAGTTTATTTTGGAAGCGGCAATGACAAAAATACCTGTTGTGTATCGGCACCACGCCCAGCTGGTCAAATGCTGGTTATAAAATGTCAACGCCGACATCAAAATTTTGTTACATGAGATTTGTGGCCAGAAACTAATGACAGAACAAATCAGCTTTTTGCACAAATAGAAAGATAATTGCCCTTTATTGTCCCTGCTGCTTCTGACGGTGGCTCGTGCCCCTGGCCTCCTCGCGGCTGGGAGCAGACACGCAGCTTTTAAATTGTGACTGAGAGCATCTCTTGCCTTCAGTGGAGAGATCTAACACCTGCTGGAGCCAACAGAAGTGGGGGGCAGTGTGGCCCTCACACCCCCAGGGCACTGGAGCCTCGGCTCCCTCAGCGCCCATGGAGGCAGTTGTCTTGGTTTGGAGGCAAAGCCTTGCACACAGCCTCGGCCTGTGCCCCGCCCAGGACCCTCTCTTCTCCCTCCTGTGCCGCCAACTGGCAGAACTCAGGGATGCGAGGGTTGAGAGCTGGGTGCACTGGCAGAGAGATGTCGGGAGCTGTCTCCGCAGGCTCCTGCAGGCTCGCGCACTCAGACTGTGTGGTCACAGCAGAATCACAGGTACAGGGCTGGCACCCCAGGCCTGCCCTCAAATTCAGTGCTCAGCGAGGGGAGGGCACTGCTGGGCAGCACCTGTGCAACTGCCCACAGCAGGCCTGGCCATAGGCAGGGTCAGCACAGACTGGCAGAGCTGCCATCCAGGGCTTTCCACATGGCACTGAGCTGAATGTGGCTTTGTCCGGGGTGCCCGGCCTGTGTGTGCTTCTCCTGGGCACGGCCAAACCTGCGTCCTGGCAGCTGAGAGATGCAAGAGCCCTGGGCATGGCCCTGGGTGACAGGCCCCAGACAGGGCAGGGCATGGCAGGGAGGGTGGCTGCGTGCCCTCCCAGCCCAGGCTGCACCCAGACCAGTCACCTGCCTCCCCAGCACCCCTGCCATGATCGGCTGCTCCTTCGTGGTGGACCGCGAGTACTTCGGGGACATCGGTCTGCTGGACCCTGGCATGGAGGTGTACGGAGGGGAGAACATCGAGTTGGGCATGCGGGTGAGTCGTAGGCAGATGCCGCTCAACATGCCCAGGATGTGGGTTCCTGTGGGCACCCCACCAAAGCCTGGGGCTGGCGTGGCCCCACCTGGCACATGTGTGCTTCCGGGCCCTTGCTGTCCCCGCCTGCATCTTGCCCTCCCCAGAGCTTCCCTCGCCCACCAGACGCTGGACCTCCAGGAGGCGGGCAGACACTGCCTGGGGAGGGAAGCGGCTTGCCCACCGATGTCTTTGAGAGGACGCCGGGCTTCCGGTGGTTATTGCAGACCCCAGGCCCAAGATCCAGCGTCTGCCCCTTCCCAGCTGGGCCACCTCCTCACTCTGAGCCCCGGGTGACAGCCACCGGGGCACAGGCTGCCATGGTGCTTCTGCCATGGGCGATGTGCTGAGACACTGGGGTTTGGGGAGGTTTAGTCACTTTAGCCACTTTGTTTAAACAGAGACAGTTGGGAGCCCTCCCTGGGTTAAGACACAAAACTGTGATGCCCTCCATAGCCACGGCTGCACGAGTTTGATCCCTGGCCAGGAGTTGCCCCACCTGGCACAGCAGACCTCTCCTGACTTCCTGCTGCTCCCCTCAGCAGTTATTTCAATAAATTTACCTGTTCTGCTCTCCATCCTGTCCCTGGTGAATCCTCTCACCCCCCTGCATTTCTGGCCTATACCCCAGCAATTGCATGCATAAATAAATAAATCTTTTTAAAAAAATAAACAGATAGTGCATGAGAGGCCCTGGGAGAATATCTTTCAGTTGTTCTATCGCATAAGTGGCAGGGAGACCCAGTTTGGCAGGAGATCCAACTGTATGCTGGGGCTCCCCTGCTGTGGCAGGGCTCCCCAGGTTTGCCGTGCCCCCCGGGGTGCTGTGCTCCCCCAGGTGGG